GTACTGCATATTTTCTTCTGAAAAGAGGGCTCAGCTATTGAAGCACTATCGCTTAAAACATGCAACAGGTGGCACCAGCGGTACGTTTTTTCATATACAAATAACATAATTTTTTGTTTTCTGTTAACAAATTATTCTTGACCACTTATGAGTAATCGGTGTTTCAATATATTTCAGGGTACAGATGTTAATGGCAAGCGAACAGCAGTCCTCCGAGGCCTTCCTGTCATCCTGGGTGATGAAAACAATGACTTCTTCAAGACTTGCTTTGTAAGTAGTCTTTTTTTCATCATTATTTAAAAATTCTACGCAACAGGATGCCCAATCTATTTTATCCTGTCCCTTGTGTTACATAAATATAGTTTAGCTTTTGTTATGATACTGGCCAAAAGTGGGCCTTCAGCAGGCCAAGGTAAACTGCATTTAAAATGTTATTGTGGTTGTAATTTTACTGTTGCCTATGTTATAGCATTGTGATGACCTGGACATCTCCAACAGCTTCATCGGGATACTTACAGTCATCCCTGAAGACAGCCTGGCTTCACCTGACTCACTCCACCTTGCACCGTCAGCAATCGCCATCATATTGGAAGGGAAAATGGTGATGGACGGCATCAATTCTCCCCCAGATGCCATGTGCCTACTTTTTGGACTCATCTACGCCCTAAATTTGCAATACCCTCAACAACTTAAGAACACTTTTGAATTTATTCAAAGGGTGATGCTCTCACTTGGCCATAAGTCCCTTAAACCAAAACTACAATCACTCAAAAATGCCCTGATGCAGTGAGTCAGAGCACCTCCCACTGGGACATTTTCTCTTTTGGAAAAGTGATTTTTCTTTGTAATTATTATTATTATTTTTCAAAGGCCGCGTTGCAGTACACACAGGGACTCAGATTGTTTTTGTATACATTTGTAAATTTTTATGATGGAAGCACAGAAGTCAGCCTCGGAGTCACGTGATCAGCTGGACAAGATGGCAGCATAGGTTAAACTCGCTCAACCCAGTGATGCTAATTCTGTAAATTTATACCGTTAAGACAATTAAAAAATATATATATTTTAGCCTCTGAGTGCTTGATCGAAGGCAATGTCTAAATCGAGCAAAAAGTCGCCGCCTAAAAAGGGTCCTGAGATGAGGGGGAAGTCTGACATGGAGGCGTTAGCCAACACAGCGTTTGAGAAGCAACGAGGCTATCTGGATTCGCGCTTCGACCAACTTCAACAGATGGGGAGGGAGACGGAGGGGAAATTGACTTCTATCCAAACGGACTTGATGGTACTGAGTGAAAGCATCGGCACTGTTAAGGCAGAGATGGGCAAGATACGGTTAGATGTGGTGAACAATTCTTGAATTTGAAAAGCTTGAATATTGACTTGAGCCGTCCCTTATAGATACTGTCTTTTTACGTTAGTGAGCCGGATCATTTGGCTCGGCTCTCTTAAAGCCCCGGCTGTTTCGGCTCCCAAACGGCACTTCATGTTACCACAGTTTACCGCGGAGCCTCAGTTTCGCCGCTGCCAGGCTCTGGCGCTCGCCGCTCACGCGCGTGCTCCACTAAAACCACCCCGCTCATCGCGTCCAAATCGCACACGTTCCGTGTTGTCCTGTAGCAGGCACCTTCGATGTCAGGGAAACGATCTTCAATACTCCGAAAAGAATCCCACCAGACTCCTTTGCCCATCCAACAGAGGGATGTCCTTGTCCTTTTTCCTTTTCGTCATTTCAAGCGATAAAAGCTCTCGATCTCTCTCGAATTATTTATATTTTTGGACGCCCTCGGCTCGAGTTCAGGGCGTCCCAAGCTGAATAAGGGCGTCAAATGACGGCAAGACGCCCCCCTGGCGGAAACGCTGGGTGGAATTTTTCCTCCTTTACCCCGCTACACTGAAAGTCAAGGGAGCTGGTCAAGTTAAGACATTTCATTCCCGGGACATGCCGAAGACTTCATCGTCTCCCTACCAGGAGTGCAGGATGCACCAACCGGCGGGGACCTGGGACCTGGGTGCTTGTCTGACGGCGAATAGCGGTCTTTTGGAACTTGTTGGACTATATAGCGTCGCTGTTTTGGACTAAATGCACACTGCTTTGCGTGGACTGGGATCTCTTACAGAGTTTTGGATTATTTCTGCAGGCTTCTTTTTATTTGTTTTTGTCTGACCCTGGACTCATCTGGGGACGTATAGTTGTTTATCATTGTTTGGCTGATCAGACTAACTTGCGAGCCTACTGCTTCATTTGTTGATCCCACACCACGTTATAGACTCTGGACTTTAATACAAACACAGCCGGCTTCTTTGCTTTTTGTTTTGATCTATATCACGGCGGATCCGCTGTGCATGTCGGATGTGAATGGACAATGGCCGGTAAGATGTGCGTTGGTTATCGGAACAGTGTATGCTACAGTGGCGAACCGTGGCTATCACAACTGGACCTTCTGTAGACACACCCACCCGCCGCCCCCCTCCCCCCGCTGCATTATAATGTCCGTCTTTTCACTGAATTGTCGTCTTGAAAAGGGTACTCACAACAATTCCGCAACAACTTCATCTTCACCTGTTGCATATTTCAACGTTAAAAACAATAAAACGGCATGAATTGCTTCGTCGCATTCATCTATCCTCTGTCTCGAGCCAGTTAACTAGCGGGCCTTCTAGAGTACCCTGGAACCGAGGGGAACTCTGGAAGAACACGCCCATTGGCTACAAATCAATATATGATTGGTTGATCAAACTGTCAGTCCAAACGTACGCTCTCATTCAGTGCAACGGCCAGGGCATTCGATCAAGGATATAGAATACCTTGGTTGAAGGATATTCTACCCAGAGACCCAGAACAACATCTGATTGGTTGCTTTCTTTTCTAACACAAAACCACTGAAATGCGTAGTGCATGGTCCGAGAAGGACAAACAAATCAACTCAACACTAATATTACAGATCAACAACACAGATACCATTCTCATTTATTCATTTTATATACATTTTATTTATATAATTAAATCAATTTTTTGTTTGTTTTATCTGAGTGTTCCAGGGTATTCTCTGAATACCTTGAAGGCCCTGACGGTTCGCCACTGGTATGCTATGATGTTACCTATTTACGTTTTTTGTCTCAAGTACAAGATCTGAGTACTTCTCCCACCTCTGAGTAAATGTGATTGATCAGATGTTAACATCTCCTTGTATGCTACTGTAGCTTTAGCACTCACTATTTGCTACAGGTGACTTCCTGTTTACATTTTTGATTGATTTTGCCAGATGTTTCCTAGCAACCAATATGATTCACTCAGTATAACGAATGCTTTTTTAATTCTTCATTGTTTAGACTCAAATGCAACCATGTAAACAATTCTTTAAACTTAAATCAACAGGACTCTAGGCGGCTAAACTTTAAACAGAATGTCATTGTTTTCACTCAAATATGAATAATTATTTAACCAGGATTTTCACTTTTAAAAGTTAAAGTAACTTACCTCTGCTGATGAAGTCATTCTGCTGCTTGTGTTATCAACAACCTGAAGTTCAGCCATCTGCAATAACATAGATTACCATATTACTTATTAGCCAACTTCAGGAATTAAAATAAACATTTTGTGTTTTTCTAAATGTTAACCTTGAGACCATTCATTTGACAAAACAATCACTACCACAAAGCTCAAAGACAGATGGAGTCCATCCAGTTAGACACTTGCACATCTGACAAATAATAGAGACATATCTTGTTGTGCTTTAGTTTTGGCCTTTTTTAAAATAAATGCAGCTTTAAAAAGCTATATATTACAAAAATAATACCATTAAAAACTGCCACCAAACATCAAGATGACGAATTTATTTTATTTCTTGTTATTTTTTCTTAATGCTTTCAACCAAGCTACATAACCAAATTTGCTTCTGGATTTTAAGTTTATAAGCTATCACTAAACACTCTAAACCACTAAATCTGACTAGCCTTTTTTAAAGAAAATCCTAACACCATATCAAAATCATGGCAAGAAACACATGAAAGTATCTCTGATCCGGCCCACACTATTTAACTTAACTTAGTGGTCCATTGTTTTGTGAAGAGTCTACACTACACGATCTATAAGATGATAACACTTCCTCCAAAGTTGTTTAAACTTCTACTCCACAGTGACTTCGTTTTTTTATCGTATTATAATAGCAGAAAATAAAAAAAATAGTCTTAAGTAGTTTTTAGTGTGTATTGACTTCTATGATCCCAGAAGCTGTTTAGTTTTTCAGGTGCTCCATTTGTTGTCTCTGTTTTGTGTCTCCCTGCCCCCACCTCACCCTCTCAGCCCCCAGTTGTTGGTGGGGGGCAAGGCAAGGCAAGTTTATTTATATAGCACTTTTCAACACAAGGCAATTCAAAGTGCTTTACAAAAAATGAAAGACATTAAGAAAAAGGCATTTAAAATCAGTCATTAAAAAGAAAAGCTAATAAAATAAACATTAAAAGAAAAAATACATGGATAAAAGTTTCAGTGCAGTCTAAGATATGAATAGTTCAATTAAACATTAAAAGAAAAAGTACATGGATAAAAGTTACAGTGCAGTCTAAGATATGAATAGTTCAATTGAAAGCAGCGACAAAAAGAAAAGTCTTTAGTCTGGATTTAAAAGTAGTAAGAGTTGCAGCGGACCTGCAGGTTTCTGGGAGTTTGTTCCAGATATTTGGAGCATAATAACTGAACGCTGCTTCTCCATGTTTAGTTCTGACTCTGGGGACAGAAAGCTGACCAGTCCCTGAAGACCTGAGAGATCTGGATGGTTCATAATTTAGCAGGAGGTCAGAAATGTATTTTGGGCCTAAACCATTCAGTGCTTTATAAACCAGCAGCAGTATTTTTGAAATATATTCTTTGACACACAGGAAGCCAGAAGAATTGGGAGAACCAAGAAAAGGCATCTGTTTTCCGGAAAGTTCCACGGACCAATAAGGGCAGGGGAAGGGTCTGGCATCTCCCCCAGCAGCTGATACTCACTGCTCTATATTTAGATATAGGCTACAGGGCCTGGCCACTGCATTAGAGCACACAGGACAAACCAGCCACATGCTTTTTACTTTCAGGCAGTCAAAGGGATCACAAAATTAGTTTCCGTTTTAATACTACGCAAGAATAACAATGAACAAGATTACAATTGTGAGACCAGAGGAGAGGTAAGTGCTGTCGTCTCTTTGAGTCGTGACCAACAAATGCTTCCTTTACTAATTATAATATTTTTGTATTTTTGAGTCACAACTATAAAAGTTTCTCTTTGTTCCTTACAGCCAGCCAGCACGTGCGATTTGGTATGACAGAAAGAAATACGTCACCGTCAAATTCATTGTTCATAAACCTAAAGATGTCCAGGTGGATATCCAGCCAGACAAAATGATTTTATAGTAAGTTTGAAAAAATGTAGGTGTATTGTTTCTCTGTTAGTTATATGAATTGGTCTCTTTGTGTGTCTCTTGAGAACATGTGGTAAACTGTGATGTTTCTGTACTAATCTGTTGCCCTGTCCTGTCTTTACAACAGCTGCAAAAACGACACAGATGATGTCTTCTACAACGTGCTGCCCTTCTATGAAAACATTCAAATTAATGTAAGTAATACATTTCGCCATGATTTATGTTCTTTGTTAAACAATCAGTGCAATGTTAAATATAGCTGTGATTTTATCTTTCCGACACATTAACAGGACTCCAGAGAAAGAGTCTATGACCGCAGCATCCATATCTTGCTCAGGAAGCTTAAGCCTGATTATTCATGGCCTCATCTCCAGAAGGATGAGGCTAGGGTAAGTGTGTGTGTGTGTGTGTGTGTGTGTGTGTGTGTGTGTGTGTGTGTGTGTGTGTGTGTGTGTGTGTGTGTGTGTGTGTGTGTTGTATATAATTGATCATTATCAACTATATCAGTCAATGGAGAAACATAACTTGTATTCTTTGACTCTAAATGGAAAAGGGGGATAAACATTGGGAAAAGGGGGATTTTTAATAACGAGTAAGATCAAAACAATGTCTGATGTTTCCTTTGACCTCTTTTATACTCATTATAAACTACTTGGCTTTATTTGAACATTTTCACTGATAGTGCTGTATTATCAAAGTCCTCTCCTGTTCTATGTAAAAACAAGTGAAACAACGTGAGGTCGACACACTTTTGACACACAGGAAACATTGCCTTGACTTACTTAAGACATTTACACTATACTGAGTTAGACGGCATGAATTACAGACACCCCCCAAAAACCGTTGGAAACAAGCTGCTGTTACGTTAGCTGCAACATTTTAAAGTGTGTTGTTTCTCCATCTTTGTTGCAGCCCAGCTGGATTTCCGTGGACTTTGATAACTGGAGGGACTGGGAGAATGAAGTAGAAGATGGAAAGGAAGAGTTCGATATGTACGCGGATGTGAGTAAATGACATTTGTCCAGTAGATCAACTGATTCAATGAACTTTTCTATATTCTTTCTCAGAGTTTTCTTAGGTGCCTGTGTGAGGATTTGAGTTTTCTCTTTTTCTTTTCAGATGATCAAAGAAATGTCTTCCAAGAACAAAGGAGAAGCACCAGATATGGACGATCTTGATGTAAGTGAAGTAGTTTAGGAAGGTTTTCCTACAAATAAATGTGAATTCATTCCTCTATTTTTAATGTTGACTTTCTTCTCTCTTCCTCTACAGTCTGACTGAGTAAACGTCACCTGTGTTGAAGGCCACGGTAACTTGATAGGACACTGAAGACAGTGCTATTTGCTGAAGTTTGTGGATGATTTGATATACTCATCCAAAAATACTGTTTTTATGTAATTGATGTTTTCTATGGGATTATTTAATGGTATTTTATTGTCCACTGTTTCCTGACATATTGGTAATTTGAATAAAAACAAGTGAATCAACCTTGGTTTGAAAATTCATTATGATATGATGCATGGGGTAATAGCCTTTATTTAAAGTTAATAGTAGATAGAATAGAATTTGGAGGGATGAAACCCTCTTTATTGGTCACACATGCAGAGCATACAACACACAGTGAAATGTGTTCTCTGCTTTTAACCCATCCTACCAGGAGTCTAGTACCAGGAGCAGTGGGCAGCTATTGTACAGCGCCCGGGGAGCAATGGGAGTGCTCAAGGGCACCACGGCAGGGCAGGAGGTGAACTGGGACCTATCCAAGTAGAAGTCCCCACACTCCATATTTAGGTCTGGTCGGGGACTTGAACCGGCGACCCTACGGCTCACAGTCCAAGCCCCTACTGAGCCACTGCCGTAATACTGGAGAAAATGTGTGTTTGCCAGAAGATGACAGTAAAGCAGCTTCATTTATTATTTGTTCATTCTTGGTAAAGCCTGCAAATTAACCCTCAACATTGACACAGATGCCTTCTTATGTTTGTATTGTTATGTATAGTTGCATTTCATTTCAACAAACATATTTGAAATGCTTATTATCATATCTCAGTCTTCTAAAAAACTGTTTGTGAAAGGTAATGATGCACAGATTCCAGAACATGAAACATAATTTATATATTGTGTTTTTATTATAAGGTTGTTATAATACACAACCCCATTGCCGGCAACACCTAGAAATAAGATGGGAGAGTACTGAAAATGAATAGGTCTTCAACCTCGACATTTAAAAAAAATATTTTGATGAATATATTAAAGATTGTGTCATTAAAAAAAGGTAAAAGTCGAAGCCAGTAAAAGGCGGTTTATGGAGTTTAGACCACGCTGCTACCCGTAGTCCTGCTGACAGTTGTAGCCGACGGAACTTACTCGTGTTTCAGGTGGAGCTTTTCCTCAAAAACACTCCAGCATGGCTTTTCAATGTCAACGAGACTGCTATATGAAAGAGGTATGGCACTTTTGAAATACAATTTATCAGCGTGTAACTCATTTACAGCCTGCAAAACACCACCTTTTACATTCATGCTCTGCAGACGTGGTTAGCATATGGTAGCTAGCTAACGTTACAGTTGATGCAGGAGCAAACACTGTCAACACAATACAATTATACATTAGGTATGGTATTTGACATGTTATATAATGCTGTGACAACCTATAAGAAAAGTTGCATTATGTATATTTCTAGCTAGCCACTTACAGTCATGTTGTTAACCAAACGCATTGAGTTTTCAAATTTCATTCATAGTTACCTTAGAAATTACCCAGTGTCTCATACCTAACATGCACACAGGTGCTTTTAGTCTCCATTTAGTTTTATAAAAAAGACTATACAATATGTAATAAAGGGAATTCTATACGTTTTTCTTTCCTATTAGTTTGTTACCTCTGTAGTGTCCTGCTGCCCAGCTGAGCTCAAGCATGAAGTGAATGGAAAGAAAGAAACTCTTAAAGGCTTCAATATCAAACTCCAAGACACCATCTTGTTTCCTGAAGGAGGAGGACAGGTAAGCTATAAAATCATACTAATTAAATGTCTCCATCAAGGTACTTCTATCAGTGTTTACTGCAAATCCTAAATGTTCAATAAAAGTCACTAAAAAGCCATTTTACTTGATATCTTTTTGATAATGTCCATGCTTTGTGTTGTCCTGCTTCAGCCAGATGACCACGGTCTGATTGGAGACGTCCCGGTGGTGAGGGTGACGAGGCAGGGGGCCGACGCCGTGCACTTTGTGGGCTCTCCTCTGGAGGAGGGGCAGGAGGTGCAGGTGAAGGTGGACTGGGAGAGGAGGTTTGACCACATGCAGCAACACTCAGGTGAGTAATAATGGTGGGTAATAACAAAAGGCTGCCCACTTTAAGTCAACTAATCAGTCTTTTTGTCATCTTATATTTCATTTTTTTTATGCTTTTTCACGCTGAATTACTTATTTCCAAGACATTCAGAAGCACATCTCTGTTAAAAATTGTATTAAAAGTAGTGCTTTTGTATAATTCTTGTGGATAAACTCATAAATGAAACCCACTAATTGATTGGTAATTGTAAGCGTTTGTTTTCTAAGAATGTCTTTGTCTAGCACAAGACTGGAGTTAATCCGTTTGCCAGATTGAAATAAAAATGCATTACTGATTATACATTTTTATTGCACTTTTCTAAGTTAGTTTTCTTCCTTACTCTCAGGTCAACATGTGATCACAGCTTTGGCAGAAAACATGTTTGGATACAAGACCACGTCCTGGTACATAACCTCTGCACAGATTACTTCTTTGTAACGTTAAAAGCTTGTCGTTTTACCTCTTTTTTTCTCTGTGTTTTCTACAGGGAACTGGGGCGTCAGAGAAGCACCATAGAGCTGGACACTCCCTCGGTGAAGCCTGCCCAGCTGCAGGCCCTGGAGGAGGCCGTCAACGAGAAGATCAGAGTCCATACCCCCGTCACTGTTCAGCTGCTCTCTATAGATGATCCCGCTGTGGAAAAGGTGCAAACACGGAGATTAGTGGTGCTAAAATACAGTCTTTAAACTGTGTGATTAACTTGAGTTTAAGATATGGTTTCAACAGCATCTATCTAAAGAAATAAATGTAACATGGATAATTTGTTACACAAGTTGTGTGTGTTGACTAGGTGAAGAGTCGGGGGCTGCCAGACGATCACGCAGGGCCGATTCGGATCATTGATATCGAGGGCGTCGATGCTAACATGTGCTGTGGAACCCATGTGTCCAACCTCAGTCACTTACAGGTTCAACTCCACATGCACTCAAGATGTTCCTAATCTGATTTGTTCCTAATCCTAACATTTCTCTAAATCTCAATTTTAGATAATAAAGCTGCTGGGAACTGAGAAGGGAAAGAAAAACAAAACCAACCTGATCTTCCTGACAGGAAACCGGGTGTTGAAGTATGCTGAGAAAAGCTACAGCACAGAGCGATCGTTGGTGTCTCTCCTGAAGTAAGTGGGAATTATCTAAATAGTATATGTGAGTTAAAGTTATTCACAAAGTCTAAGTGACAAAATGATTGTGTTTGTTCTACAGGACTGGACCTGATGAGCACGTAGAGGCTGTTGACAAGTTGCAGAAGTCTGTGAAGCTACTACTGAAAGTAAGAGACCCATTTACATGACATCTTTCCATTTTGACAAGCTCTGTATATATGTAACATACAGTATGTTCACTCCAACACATTGCACATGGACTCCCTAACAGTCATTCAAATTGTGTGTGCAGACTAACCTGAGCTTGCTTCGAGACATGGCTGTCGTCATCACTCAGAACTTTAAGAACGACCCCCAGAGAGGGAACTTCTTCAGCTTGCACAAGTAAGAGACAATACACGTGTTCAAGTTGAAGGGCTAGTTAACGGAAGTCAGGGGAAAATGTAATGATCAACTTTCAAGTCAGATCTTTAAAAGCTTTAAAATGTTTTGGCATGTTTTCAGTTGTCCTTTATTAAGTGGTTTCTGTAATACTTATTTTGGCCACAAGAGGCTGAAATCAAATGCACTAGTACCCCACGTGCTGACTAGGAATAAAAGCAGCAGATTAGCAGCTGTTAAAATACATTTCTAGCCAAAAGAAAGACATGACAGTAGATGCACTTGCCAAATTGAAGATAACTAAAAGGAAAACACCTAAAATAATGCTGACAAAGAAATGTCCAACTGCCAGAAATGTTAGATAAAGAGTCTGTTGTCGTCGCCCACAAACAAGTTAAGATTTTGGAAAATGGATAACCTTTTTTGTCTTACTTGCCTCTCAGGGGAAGCTTGTTTCTAGATCAGCATTTAAAGTACATACATTGATTTTGCATGTCAGAAAAAACACTTCGCTTTCTTCCTACAGAAAAGAGGGTGACAATGAATTCATGAGCATCATTGCCAATGAGTTAACCACTGAGGTAAGTTTCTAATCCTCTACCTGTTCACTTCAACATCTGAGCTGTCTTTTTTGTTAAGCCTGATTTTGTCTGCTTTTAGGGAACTTTGGTTTTCCTGACTGTTGGAGAGGAGAAAGGCCCGGGTCTGTTCCTACTGGCTGGACCCAGTGAGCGAGTGGCCGAGATGGGCCCGCGGTAAGAGACGACACCACATTATGTAGCCATTGCTTTAAAAAAAGTTGTTTGCGGGTGAGATATTAATTTCCTGTGCTCTCCAGGGTGCTGGAGATGCTCCAAGGGAAGGGGGCAGGAAAAAATGGACGTTTCCAAGGAAAAGCTAACAGCCTGGCACGCAGAGGGGAGGTGGAAGCTTTCCTGGAGCAGCAATGCAAACAGGAAGAATAAACCCAGCAATGATTTAACAACAAATACATATTTTTTTATGAATACTACTTTTAGAAGCCATTAAGAATAGCTTACCTGATTTTTGTGGTAAACACTAAATGTTAGTGTCATTACACAAACCAAGAAATTGGATAATTTCTTTGAAAATTTGAATTTCATGGACCTCTGTATGGTCCATGAAAAATGGTCCATTTATATTTGAATGTTAAATGCCATTTACAGTTTGAACTGTTTGAAACTCTTCGTTAAACCTTATCTGTGACTTTGTGTTGAGTCTTATTTCAGAAACCCTGCTTGCAAGTGGTGTTTACAGCCGCTTGCAACATTAAAAATGCATTTCTACCGACTGATAAAACAAAAACCAACACTGTTTGAACATCATTTTTAATAACTTTAATTTAAAAGACCAGTGAAAATGTAATGTACAAAATACAGACACTTTTATGCTGTTGGTAACTTAAGTCTTACATTGTTTTTGGCATTTAAGTAGGCAGAAAATAGAAACCCTTGTATAGAGTAATGCAATAAAAACAACAGTCCTAATAACTCCTACCTTTTTTAACAGTTATTATATATGTATTTGATCACACCATTAACATACGAGTAGTGACACCCTACAACACAACCATTTAATCAATCTAAAATCCGATAAGTGAATCTTTTACACATTAACAAAATAAAGTTAAATTAGGACAGTTGTATTGCATTAAATGATACAGGGGCTTCTGTTTTCCCAGTGTGTGGATCTGGATACATTAGTTATTGCTCCCGTCTGTCAAAGTGTTCATGATAAGATAACAGTGCAAATGTGCAAGCACCCCTTCCCCATTTAGACCTTTATAAAATACTATAGGCAATACAAATATATTGACAGTGGTTTGGCCGTAACGTGAACGTCCTCTAGACAGTTTTCCAGTTCCATTTCTCCGCCTCCTTGTCGGGTTATTGCGAAGGTTTCACCAACTTCATTGCGATATAGTTCTGGAAAAATAAAAATAATTTAAAATCACAGCTTCTCTCAAGAATAAATCATAAAGACCCTCCTTGTGCTCTCGTGGATTCTTACCGGTAAGGAGTACAACAGGATGCCGAGGAAGAGCAGCACTAAGATGAGGATGATGAGTCCGATGAAGAGGCACCTGAACCTTCGCCACACGATGAACTTCATGGTCTTACATGGGTTTGTGAACCAAAAGAAGGATGTTTCTGGGCGTCTGATGAGATAAAATAATAATTATTAGTCTAACAACAAGAGGAGGTAAAACAATGGGTAATAAAGTGGAGAATAAATGACAATGAATATGTTTATTTGACCTGCAAAACTACACATTTCCATCTTTTAGGTAGCAAAACAAGGAGTTTATTTAGATTTAATCTGCCAAGTGTAAAAAAAAAGGGTTTGTTTCACAGGGTGGGGTCTTACTTGGGAGGGTCCAGTTTTGGGTTCATGTTGGGGTCGTCCCGGCCTTTTCCTGCAGGTTTTTCATCTACTTCTGCTTCACCTACGATCTCCAGAGTCATCTCCACTTTGCCCTGTAAGCACAACCGACATAATGACAATGAGGATCTCCGACACTTTCTGAATGTTCAAATCTATTCATCGAGCTTCTAAAGGCAACATATAAACTTTTTATTTAGGAGTTGTATATATGAAGCGCAACATTTGGGGCTAAAACTTAAGCATGCAAGCCAACAGTGTCCTTGATGAGAATTGCCTACAAGAGGTCTTTATCTTATGCCACATTTGCTGCCCATCCGACCCCGTTAGGGTTCTGTTATTTCCTCCAAAAAATGAGTACATCCATCTCTAGGTGTACTTTTAATTCCCACTTACACCCAGGACCCTCTCTCCGTCCTGTTCGATGGAGCAGGGCCACCAGCCTCTGACGGACTGCTGGGAGAACAGACACTTCTCGTTCTCCTTCTTGACTGGAGATCCCATTTGCAGATCCTCCATCATCTTCAGAGAGCATTTATTTGGAGTCTTCGCAGGAGGCACCAGGTTACGCAGATCCACCTCCAGCGTGCCTGAGATCACAGAGTGTTACACTATGATGGTCAGGTTTTGTAAAGGTGGTCTGCAGGTAAATGAAAGACTCGAAACACATAAAGTTTTCTTTGTTGATCTTCAAAATGTGTCTCACCCAGGTAATCGTCCAATGAGAATTTGTCGTTATCCCATATCTGAACGATCAGCTTGGGGGGAATCCTGAACTCTGTTTTGTCAAGACTCCAGAAGCGCTCCTGGTGAATAATGAAAACTATATTTTACTAAAATTGCCCTTTTTTTTATAAGTCTAGGTCAATTGATTGTCAGTTCAGATCAGCCTCACCTTCTTGGACACGAGGCAGAGTTGTTCGGCCGGCAGATACTCAAACTCAAAGATGAACCTCCAGTTGAAGTTTCCGTCTCCGTCCAGAGAGCGGTAGTGGACGTCCGTCTTCTGCTTCTCATCCTCCATGCCCGCCATCCAGCTGCAGAGGAAACAAACGGAGTGAACATTTACTGTTCAACAGATCCCTGGTAATTCCTCCTTTACAGCTTTGCATTCAAAGAATTAAAAATAAAATCTATAAAAATCTGTTTTAGCACTGAAGCAAGTTCTGAATAATCCAGTATTGTATATTTTTCTTTTGTAAAGTAAACGACCCCGTTTGGTGGATTTATTTCTAATAATGAGTGTTTTGTTATCATTCTTTCAATAAATATATGTACAGTGTATGCTTATATTAATATCAGGTGTTTTTACTGTAATAGTGTTGAAAACTCACAATGTAACAAAATGAAAAACATTTTTAAAAAAACACTGAAAATGTGAACAAAATGAAGGCATGAAAGCAGCAATAGAACCCTTCAACTAGTTTTAATGTCACCAATGCACTCAATAAAGTCAAATATAATTTATATAAAAATATCTGACTGCCATACATTTTATTTGAATAGTCCTACCCTTTGACATAGATGTCACTCATGTGCTCTCCTGTGATGCTGGCCTCGTCTAAAGTCACGTCTGTGGTGTTCCAGACGACCGCACGCAGGAAGTACCTGAACACACAAACACAGTAAGTATAAATAACTCAGTGGCATTTCAATGGGACCAGGGACGAAGCACCAAAGGTTTAAGAGAAGTCCTCACTTCTTAGGCTTGCGCGGCGTGACGTCAAAGGGGGGTCCAGGGGGTCCGATGCTTTTCGGGAAAACATCCACCCACATCTGGAGCTTTCCCTGAATGAACACACAAACAGTTTTACAAAATAGCTGCATCAGGGTGAATGTGCACATGTAGGTTTTAGCTGTGACCTCTGACCTGGGAGATGTTGGGCTGGAAGGTGCTGTAGAGGGTCCGGGTCTCCACGTGTTCGGGGACCAGTCCCTGTTTTCTGAGCACGTGCAGACAGAGGCGCTCTCGGGGGGGACCCAAGTGCTCGTGGATCTCCTTGGTGTCCTCTGGATGTGAAAAATGAATGTTACGGCTTTATTAGGCTTATGTTTTATTATACTTAGTCAAATTAGATGCAGGAAAAAGGAAACAAAGATTCAACCCTCAACAAAAAAAATATGTTAAATGGATAAACTAATAAATGTGCCAGAATTATTTTTCATTAATAATTGATTGATAACATAACAAAAAATACAATTTCATTGGTTATATTGGCACTTGTTTGAACTATTATTATATTATATTTAAGACCATTGACATTACCAAACTCAGCCAGCGTGTATTCTCTTCCATTGAAGGCGAGTGATGTGCCGTTGTCTTCGGTCCTGGGTTTGGACAGGCCCTTCATCCGAGCCAGGTTCTCCAGAATCAGAGACGGCTTCATCTGGTCCCGCCACTTGTTGATACCAGAACTGAGACGCAAACAGATATAAAGTAAGGATCCAATTGTAGGTTTTTAGGTTATTTTTCTAAATGTCCCCCCTGTGAGGCGTTTCCTTACATGCAGTAGGTTTGTGGCAGGCCGCAATAGGAGTTATATCGGGACAGGAAGCGGTTCTCCAGGTCAATCACGGTCTCGCCGACCTTCTCGTCACGGGTCAGCATATCGTAGTCATAGACGGAGATTTTCAGGTCTTTATCCTGGGGCAGGAAACACGTCGTCTCAAACATCCTGAACAAAACAAAGGGATTGTTTGAGAGGGTGCCCTGGGTTTACCCTTTAAAAAAAGGAAAATGATCTGTAGTCTTTGTTTAAATCTGTCAATTTACCTTCCAAACACAGGGGTGGTGGTGTTGGGTAAGTAATGGTCTCTGTCGTCAATCGTGTCCTTTCCCAGAGAAATCTTTATGTACGGATCACACTGAGCCGGACACAGGACACAAGTTCAAGCAGAAGTTTCCAACTGGGCCACAAAATATGCTTCCTTTATTCCTGGTATTTAGGATATTTTTCTCACCCTGCCATTATTGTCTTTGGGCTGCAGGTCGATGGCCTGGACCACGTAAATCCGGACCAGACACTCCTGAGGTCCGCTCTCTGGCAACTCTCTGAACTGACGGGGCGGGGGGGGAACACCAGGGTCATCTGACAGAGGGTACACCTTGAATGAACCCTGCAGGTACAAGAACACACACACTTAAAAAAGGGATGGATTCGATGTTCGAAGGGAAGTTTTATGAGGACTTTTTGTTGGTGGCTTGCTGTTATTCCTTCTCCCTACTGGGGACCTGTAAACGTACATCTTTTACACCAACTATGGACAAGCACCTCATACAAGCCCATTTAAAATCAATCGAACTACATCTTCAGGAACTGGGCTTGGTTCAGAGCCGACGAGATTCAACTCCATTCACAAGTTATATATTTTTTCTGTCCAACAGGAAATAAATTAAACAATGTTTTGCTAAATATTTGATAGATGTTATGAAGTGTTAGTGTTCTGAGTTCTGTCAAACTACCTTAAACTCTCCAACCACACTGGGGTCATCATCCCCATTGTCATTTTTGCCCCGCAGTAGTTTGAAGGTGCAGCAGAAGTCAGTCAGCCCTTTGAACTCTGGGACGTCCTCCAGCTCGCAGTCAAACACCTGAGGAAACACAGACACATTTAAGTCATTTTCAACATTTAAAGTAGATGGTGTGGGAAGAAGAAAAAAAGCAGACTTACTTTGAGCATGTCGTATCCTTTTTTGAGGTACGGGCCACATTTCTGCTGGTCTCCAGTTGAAGCGTATAATTTACACCACCAGTCGACTGTCTCTTTTTCCTAAATATTGAAATTCACAATGTTAAATTTGATATAGTTGTATGCATGTGGTATAAGAATTTAAAATCTCAGGTATATTCTTTTTTTTTTACTCTCACCTTCTCTACAAGCTGTGGAGAAAGAGGACGCGAGGTGACACAAAACAGGACAAGTCACAAAAAACACGCAGATACAACATAACATAAATGACAAATACAAATACAAACATCACATACAGTAGGCTACAATTATTGACAAGACAGAAAAACAGTGAAGAAAAGGTTGATAAGGAGATCCCCTTTGCAATTTCACGATTGAAGGAAAATCTCAAAAACAAGGGCGTAACAAAGGGCAGTAAAGTGCAATATGGCCATAGTCTCTTTTCTGGCAAACAGGCACCATGGAATATATATTGATTTGCTTATTTGCTTTTTTTCCCTCCAGGAGTTAGATGTGAAGATTGATATCACTCGCCTACTCGCATACTCGTCTGCTAAATTGATTTAGCAGAAATAGTGACAACTGCTCGCTAGTTAGCTTAAAGACTGAAAACAGGTAGCTACTTCGCTTAGTGAAAGACTGAAAACAGGTAGCTACTTCGCTTAGTGAAAGACTGAAAACAGGTAGCTACTTCGCTTAGTGAAAGACTGAAAACAGGTAGCTACTTCGCTTAGTGAAAGACTGAAAACAGGTAGCTTAGTTAGATACACTTAGCCTACACACTGAAAACAGATAGCTTGTTTCTGTAAAGCTCACTCATTAAAACATTAACCGTAAAGTAGATTTTCTACATCCATGGTGATCGGAGTTACAGTTGTATCATTTTTTAAACATAAAGATTTAAATAAGGGCTATTGAGTGAATCTGCTGATTAATAGACGTCTCTTTCCCGACGTAAGTCTATGAGAACAAGTTTTGTTTGGCCCATTGGCATAAGCTTTAAATTATGTTTTGCTAAATTAACCGGATACTTGCAGTAGCTTTATATTTCATTAGAGACAACATTTGTTTTCCCATTTAACTCTCCGCAGAAAATTAAATATGCACACTTCCCAAAATTGTCAAACGTTTACTTGAAGTATAACATTGGAAACTGTACTTCTAACCTTAAATAACGTTAGTAACTTCTATGCAACGCCTGGTAATTTTATTTGCTCCATGGCCCATACAGTACATGTTACGCCCCTGCTGTGAAACAATTATTAAATGTGCTCATTCAATTAGTGACAAATTAATTGCAATTCCAGCATTTGTGACAATTCTCAGGTAGATTAATTAATTGTGATGTTATGAGCCACCTTTCGTGCAGATTAAGTGATCTCAGCCTTACAGTTTCATTGGTGCCCAGCCGTGTGAATTTAGAAAGCTCTAATAAGTAACAATACATACAAAATGGGATGTAGGGGAAGCCATTTTGTTGACAGCAGATGACATGCTGTACATGAACTGTAAGCCAGAGTAATCAAGTTCGTCAAATTTGACTAGAGTCAAATTATGTACTTTTTAGTGACAAAAAGGAAATAAATTACAGAAACTAGAAACAAACAACACGAGGAATATGTTGTTGTACAGGGGTCGAGTTTACCTGAGTTTCCAGCAGTGGTCTGGTCTCCATGTTAATAGCGAGATGACCGGAAGGAGAAGCCATCAGAGTCACTGGAAATAGTGAGAGAACAACATTAGAACAAGTCTTTCAGTCTCAATTGTATTTGTTTGCTGGATACCTCCTTACTTTTGTTAGACATGGCTCCCTCTGCAGTGATGACGTACGGGTCACATCTGAACTGCTCCAAGCTGGTGATGGTGCACTGCCCGACCACCGGAGTCCTGCCGAACGGACGGTGGTCGATCACCTTCAGCACGATGGGCGGGGTGTACATCTCCTCCTTTGGAAGGAGCTGGATGGGAAGTTTAGAAATAGTATTGTATATGGTTAATCTATTTGGAGAATTGTAAGCTGTACTCTGCTCTGTTGGGGATGTGCTTTTATTGTATTTTTGTTGAATTTGTTAATTTGCAAATGTAATTATATTCTTGGTCTGCACTTTAAACTGATTTCTAGTAACTGGACACTTTTTATTAAATTTTTTAGCATTATTTTTGTAATCGGCCATATGTCTAATGTTGAGGAATGTTCGAAAAAATAAAAAATAGTATTATGAAAAAGGCACGGGACAGTTTGAAAACTTCATGAAAATTCAGCCAAAATATTTCTGATTCATAATGTGATCCCAGGAATGACCAAAAATGCTTAAAACGTGCAATTACCACTTTGATGAAGAGGACAGATCCCGGGAAGTTGGGGCTCTTCTTCATGTTCTTGATGACGACCGACTCCACCCTCTCCCCCCCGCACTCCACCACCAGGCTGGGGGAGGAAATGGAGGCCAGCTGGTACGACTTCATGTTCCTCAGGCCCCATACCAGGATCTAAACACAGAGACACACATAAGTAATGTAAGATTTTAGTCTAATGATGTACCTCAGCTCAGAGTGACTGTCTAAAGGTTGTGTGTTACCTCGACAGCCGTGAGCTGCACCACGGGCCGGATGCCCTGAGGAACCATGTAGATGTTCTCCGATCTTTTTGAGGGAAGCAGAGGAAGGTCTGACTCGCCCGACTAAAGACAGAAGAGTGTGGATTATTTTTTGTGTAAAGCCTTTCTTAAGCAGGATTATCCCATTGGCATCATATATCTATTTTACCAAGGAGATCTGACCAATTATAGCAGAAACAGATAATTTCAACACTTAAAAACCTTTTTTTAACTCTACTTTAATGTCAAACAACAATCCTACACACAGTTGTGTTTTAAATACGGTAAAGTTGTAATTTCTCCACAACTTTCTGGACAAACCTTGTCTTTAAGGATGAGTTCTGCAGCCAGCAGGGCCTCGCCTGCCTTTTGACCTTTCTGGATGATGGGGTACCACAGCAGTCTGGGAGTCTGGTCGATGCTGGCGTTCAGCTTCACCATCGGAGTGCAAACACTGCGTCCGAGCAGCTCATCTTTCCCCTGTGGAGAACATCACATGTCAAAGTGCTTATTTGTTTTCACACATTATAGTTTCTATGGCGAAATAAGTCTCACTTTGTTTTCCCCGATAGCAATTATCTGTAATTATCCACAGTTAGACGTATGCTGCATTGACATGTGTTGGACAATAGGAACCAATTGTTCACCACTGTGAATTTAATTTGAACGTCGCCTTTTCTAGAAAAATCACTCGCATTAACAATGTATTTATAAAACAACTTACCACTTGGTCGTTGTCGTAGAACTCCAGAACCACATCGGGGGGGCACTGAGTGATGTTCTGCGGGTCTCCGTAAATCTCCACATCGCTGAAGATCAGAGTCTGGTCCCAGGTCGGGTTCAGGGTTGCCTTCAGCTTCTCTGTTGTCTTACTGAAGTGCAGGAAGGAGACGTGTGCATACGGATCTGCAAAGGAAAAAACATGCATGGTTAAAGAGTCACCTTTCACATCCATCATTAGCAGCTATTTTTGCATTAAGACTCATCTTATTATTGATTTAGCACTTTAAATCCATATTGGAAAGTCATAATTTAATCAAATTTAAAGTAGGATTTTACCAGAAAAACTATCTTTGTCCATAGATGCCAAGTTCTGAGCCTGATAGACGTAGACACGGAGATGGTACAAGTGTGACTCTGCGGGAACAAAACATTCAGTTGAATATATTTACATGTTTGTTTGTGCATGATTATTCATATGTGATATTATATGCAAAGCTCACTGTCAAAGCAGCAGGACACAGTGGGCGTGTTAGCACCAAACAGCTTGGTGCCGTCTGACTTGGAGTCCTTTTCCTCGGTATCCACGCCCTGCAGAGAAAGCAAAAGTTATTTAATACATAGGTAAATATTTGTTGACTCAGATCCGGTTCATGTTTTTATGCAAACTAGTTCTCTCTGACTCATGTGGATGGCTACTGTGTTCCTTCTGATATTAGTGGCATATTCAAACGACCTTTGTGAAAGATCTCCAAATCAGAATAAAACATTTATTATCCTTTTACTCACTAGTGCCCCCTCCAGTTGGAAGATGGCGGACGCTCCCAGACGGTCCTCTGGTCCCATTTTCCGCCTCCAGCGCCTTCGCCGGAAGGTATCGGAGGAACGCTCGTTCCTGTGGAACTTCCAGCCAATCAGAGAGGAGAATTCCCAGCCCTCAGGGTCACCTTGGTCCCTCTTCTGTGAGCACAGACAAACAGCGGTTTTTATTGTAAATCTGACTGCAATCATTAGCAATGCTTTTTTTTTTTGCATTAGAAAGTATGGAAAAAAAGACACTTGGATATTAGTCTCAATCCATCTTTGTCACATGATCAGAATGTGCACAATTAGCTTCCTTTAATAAATGATGCTACATTAATGTTGAGAAAATACTGAATGTACTCTTCCAATATCAGAGCAGCACATGATGACAAAGGCCCTACGTAGCTGCGTACGTAACAGGATGTATCATTACATAGAAGAGCGTCAGGACTGTTCTAGACATACGATAGCTATGTGATTAACATGATGATTCAGCCTCTATGGAGATGACATATGACTGGCATGTTTATTGCCTACGCGGGCCTTAGCTAATCTGAACTAAGCATAGAATACTGCTTTGAACCGGTATTCCTCCATCTTGTGACTGTAACACTTATATATCAGCATGTGAAGGACACTGTTCAGGAACTAGTTGTACCAAATGCTCTGTGTGTGATGACTACTTCCATTCTTGAGAGGATAATAAATACATGTATCCTGATTACTGAAAGTCAAGCCGGTGACGAGTGATATTTTCCGAACAATTAGATGCAAAGCACTGTCCTATGCTGACCTGCACAGGGCCTCCTGCAGGATGCGCTTCTCTCTTGCGAGGTCGGAAAAGTCGTCTCCTGCGGTGGACGTGGTAAACTTTCTCCGCAGAGACCCAGGACTTAGGCTGGTCAGCTGGGGGAATAGTGACTCCATACTCCCATCCTGTGGAGCGCACACAACCAAATGGATTCATTATTGTTTCGAAACAAGAACACATGGTTTACATTTCACCAGGTGAGTTCAATTTTATGATTATCAGTATGAGCTAGCAAGGAGTAAGTCAGAGCCCTGGGAAAAAAGGAAACATTTATAAAAACATGCATCACAATGTAGTCGTTTTGAGCCAATGCTGCCTGTGTGAATGACTGTATGACTCTAAACAGCTGAAAGAACACAATTTAAGTGCTCTTTTTACTGAAATTTGTGTGTGCAGTTTTACTATTATGCTGCTGTGTTTATTATATTTTGTAACTGGCACAGCAATTGCCTTCGGGATAAATAAAGTCTTATCTATCAAGTTAGGATTTAAAAGTCCCATGTCATGGCCATTTCTACTGATTATAATTCCATTGTTGAGGTCTACTAAAATAGATTTATATCATGCAATTGTCCAAACTCACATTGGTTTCTCATACAGCATCTCTGTATAGTATGTGTATTCACTCTCTGTCCTAAACGGCTTGTTAGAGCTCCTGCCCCCCCCCCCCTATGAGCCCAGTGGCCGTCTGCGAGACACAGCGAAACCAGCGCGAACACACACACACACACGCAGCCTGGCTGGGAGTTAGTGTGTGTGCTCACACACCGACTCACAGCCTCGCCGCGTCCCACCGTCTCAGGGAGGAGAAATCGGCGGAGCTGCAGCGGAGAAAAGATTGAGTGTGTGTGAGGAACGCAACGGCTCCACGGATTGGTCCATTTGGACCAATGGGTCCATTTCGGCATGGGCACGTCACTGTACCCAGGAAGAATACAATGGAAAAAGAGAAATCTCCAACGAGGCGTTCTGGGGCAGCATAGACAGGTCTTTTCTGTGTTAGAGTTTTACTCGCTACAGGGTGTACTTTGAGGGTTTGTGACTTTGCAGACCGTTTACATGCAGACAAACCTTCATAACACACAAGGGGACGGGTGATAACCGGAAAAGCATTACATGGGCCCTTTAACCCTTTAACTGCCAGCACCACCATTTGGTAGAGCACATTTTGCGTCTTGATATCTTGTTGAAAAAAAAAAGTTGAACTCCATCTGATTCAGCCAGCTCTACCCTTTGGTTGACATGTTATGCACAAAACAACCTCTAGATGTCACTGTGGTTCAAACAGAATGCCCTTCAGCTAGCTTCAACTGAGAAAGTTGGCAATGCTAAAAATCACTCTTTTTGGTCAACTTTTGTAAGGTAATCATATCCTTTTTGACATATGTTAGTGGCAGGGCACTGACTGAACATATTTAGATAACTTGATGCACAAAAAAAGTTTTAACAAGGGTGTAATTATTTTTTGGAAAATATGCTCAACCAATCGGTCGAATTGGCCTTTTATGGTAAGCTAGCAATATGACTTTTTCAGAGTTTCAGAGATGTTTTCCAATAAAATATGGTAAATAAATGGCTAGATTCATGGTAATATTACTAAATCTAGTACTGCCTTATGAGTCTCAGAGTGAAAGAGTGATAATAATTTATATAGCACCTTTCATGCATGGCATTCAGCCCAAAATTGCACACAGATGAGCAAGTTAGGCCAACACAGGATATAGACATTTGCTGTTAGGCCAGTGGTTTCCTGTTAGGCCAATTCAGCAGTAAGATGAGCAAGTCTTTTTTTATCATGAAAAACACTTTACATTACTTTTTTCCATTTTATTTTTTTTACAATTATAATTTATTGTCTTTTATGAATATATCTGGTTGTATATATTGCCCATTTTCCATAAAAGAAACAAATGTATTTGAGTTTGTGTTTTATTTGAGTTTGATGCATACAAATACTGTACTGTATATGATGATTGTTGAAAATGTACTTTTACCATAGAAGGCCAGCTCGACCATTTGGTAGAGGCTCATAAAAACAAAGAATTTTTCCATAGCTTTTTTCTTGGTCCAGCAGTTAAAGGGTTAAGATAAATGTTTGCACCTTGATCATCCACGGCTCTGTTGTCGTCCACAGACCACTCGTCCTCCCACGTCCAACCTGTAGGACAGTCGAACTCTCCGGGGTTACGGCTCTTCTCTCCATTCTGTGCAACAAAAAACCTCAGCTCATTTGATCGTTTGGTCATATTCTTCATGTGTTTTGGCCGACCTACAAAAGGTCAGATATTACTCTTCTTGGGGGTAAAAGAAGTCTGTCCGATACCATGTAAAATGTTCCAAGATCGTTATTTTTCAGGATTTCCCAAGTAACATTTTTTTACCTGGCTAAACTTCTTTCTATCCATTTACAGAAGAAAATCTTTTTAGGGAAAAGCAAAACCTTATTTTATTTCCACCGCCCCTTAAAAGGTAGGGTAGATACGAATGGAGAAACCAGCTCGTGTAAACTAGAATTTGAAAGTACACAACCGGAACAGACTTCCTTACAGAGCCCCTCCTCCAACACACAGAAGGCTGACAGGCAGGTAGGCCATCCAGTTATTTTAGCCGGGCCGGCTCAGATGATTGGTCGTGCTTTTTACAGCGCCACGGCTTCCACAGATGACATTTTTTTATGTATTTATTGTCAAAGCATTTCATGCATTCATTGCTATCGGGATGTTAAGAGCATTCCATGGAATATAACAAAAAGTGTTCCTGAAGTAGATTACCTACCCCACCTTTAAGTCCTGAACACTATTTGGATCAGATTTAGAAATGTTAGTTCTCCCCTCTTGCCTCTACGGGTTTCTGTAGTTGTGTGTCACAGGGAAGGGGTAACATGAACTGTGCTTGTGTTATATTTTAAGCCTCCCTGAACACTATTTGCATGTGAGCATGTTGTTCTCACCACATCTGTGAAGGGCTCCGAGGCTTCCTTCCACTCTCTACCGGGGAAGCGAGTCTCATTCTGAAACACCTCGTCCATGAAATCAGTGTGTCCTGCATCTGCCTCTGTTAGGAGACTGAAACACAAAGGCAGACATAAGTACTGTACCATCCTTTACAAACGGACATATGTGTGAACTATGGCACCCTCTCATGGCAGCGCCAGAAAAGACACCAATGCAACCTCAAATTTTGCAAAGTGAAGTGCAGCCTGAGAAAGAAAGGGTTTGCATGTTCTGACCATAGGTTCTGACAGAGACTGTGTTTACAAGTTGGGAGTAACCCAACTGTTGGCCACACATGAAATTGAAGTTTTAAAAGTGTGCATTCCTCTTGTTACTGTCCATATATTGTAGTAGTGCACTTATGATAAAGCAGATGACTGCAAACTGTTAGATAAAATAAAACAAGATCTCTTCTAATGCGTTTTATGAATTAATCTGCATTAGTTTTATTCAGCCTTTTTCCTTTATTGACACATATCTGTACATCGCGGAAATACAACAGTCAGTGCTTGTGAGGTACTTGATCACAGAAATGTACTTATGACGTTAGCATGGAAAAATAAACAATTATAAATATAAATCTAAGCCAAGATTGGAGATTTGTAGATAAGGTGTAAATAGCTTCCTGGCACAGGCTTTGACATTACATCATGGTCTAATGCATGGGAGGAATGTAAACAGAGCAGACCCACTTCCTCCAGTTAGGTCCACCTAATGTGTGCCTTCAGTGGAAAGACACATTCAACCACTATAATCAGCAGTGCAACTTCAATTACATTAAGATTAACTCCCCCTATATGTAACTAGATGGTATTCTGAAAGAACAAATCACAAGGTATTCCCTTGGTCTGTTTGTCTTGGTATTTCACAGAAAGATAGATGTCTACAGTGATACTCACGCTTTCTCTGGGTCGATGAACCAGTCGTCTTCCCACTCCCATCCTCTCTGGGGCATGAAGTGTTCTTGTTTCAGCTTCAGTTTGCCCGTAACGTCTGAGAACTTGTATCGCCCCACTAGTCCCGTGGTCCCCCAATTCCCAAACACCGCCGCCTGGTTCTCATACTGCAAGGCAAACACGGACATGCTTAGTTTTAGAAGCTGACAGACGGCTGAAATACACAATTACTTTTAATTTAGCAGGGATTTACCAGCTCTGCAAACACGCTGAAGGTTCCCTCAGAGAAGGAGTTGAACTTCTTCTCGTGCGCAGAGAGACCGAGCCACATGTTCACCCGGATCTGAACTGGCACCTTCAGCCCCTTGTTCTTGTCCATGGGATACTGAAGGAAACAAACAAGAAAATCAATCAAATTATGATTTCAGAGAAAATAATTCTAGTGCAGAGCCTTTTAGTCGGCAGATGCAACTATAACCCAACTACTTGTAAATATATTTAACTTTGCTTTAATAACTTAGCAGTACAACAATTGTGTACAATAATTCAACAGCATTCAATTATTTTTGACTGTACAGTTTGACTAGTATTCTATTCCAATTTATTCCTGGGGATCAATAAAGTATTTCTGATACCCTTAGGTTTCAAATTATTTATTTAGCCGACAGACACTTAAATCTGTTCAGACACAATCTAATAGAATGTATTACTACATCCAGTTCGACTTTTTTGGTCTGTAGATGTGTACCTTCAAGAAGACGGTCTTTGTTTTTCCACAGTGCTGCCCGCAAGCCTGCTCACTGTATGTGGAGTAGAGGAATTGGTGAGCGGGCATTCGGCTGTAAGCCACTCTCTTCTCCCCCCGTAACATCCAGATGATCACATCCGGCATGCTGTTCTGAGGCTGGACGAGAACACGTGAACAAATGCAGAGTCAATGAAAGGCACATTTGAGAAATTTGATTTGAGGTCTCCCTTTGTCTAAAGTCTCAGTTTACCTCATCAGCCAGCTGTTGGAGTTTTCCCGCCCAGGACACTAAGTCAGGCAGAGTGTCAGCGATCTCCCTCGCCTCCTCCAACATGCATCTGGCTCCCTTCTTGATTGTTTTCAAAGTGCTGTCGCGCAGCTTCTTGATTTGGAAGTCCAGAGAGGTCAGGTTGGAGCGGCCCTCTAGCTCCGGTGTCGTGAGACTGGAGGAGAGCAGAGACAAAAATGGGAAAAATATTTGTCCTAGTTATGAATTAAGTCCCATTATTGTCATTTATATTTAATATTAGTTGAAATAAGACACAGACTGAGTGTACACATTACATGTCATTTAGTGACTTACAATGTATGCAATCAACTTGAGGTTTCAAATTCAGAACAGCCAAGGAACAACATTAGCTTCAATTAAGCCAAAGCTTTTTCAGGCACTACATACAGAAATAACATCATTTAAATACATTTAAATTAAGCAAAAAGGTGCAATCAATATTAAGTTACTAAGTTATACTAAGTAATGAACCAGTAAACCCTTATTGTTTCATTTGTTTTTTGACTTCCTTTCTCTGTCTCTCTTGGGCTCATCTGACATTTCATAACATTAAAATGACCCACAGACAACAGACATGATCTTTGTCTTAAACCCATTCCACTGTTTACCTTTCCAGGTCTTCAATCAGCTGATTGAGCAACTTCAGCCACACCTCTACGAGTTTGTCGTCGGAGACTTTAGCCAGGATGGCGGTTTTAAACAGCTCCAGGTTGGATTCCTGCAACAACAGCAGAATAAGTTGAGGATTACACTCTCACATGTTCACACACGTCCCAAACATTAGTTCACTACAGTATGCTATAATGGCCTACAATAAATCATAACTCCGGGCTAATGTGGATGACAGAGGATAAAGCAGTGTTACCAGGCGGTGAGTGATGTAGAGGATGATGTTGACAGCGTCCAGGCGGTGGCTGACGTCCTCCCAGAAAGAGAGAACCACAACCACCGGCTTAGTGTCCGCCCAGGGCAGGTAATAGTAGTGGTTACCTTGGAGATAATAACACACCAATTAAAAAAGATCCTCTTGCCAGGACAGCACATTTAACATGCATTTAGGATAATTTATCACATGGCTACCTTACTTACCATCAAACACTGCACAGCTATACTGAGTGGTGGAGGCCAGCGGTTTGCAGGTGGTGTCCAATTTGTTGCCGTAGTTACCGATGCTGACCTCAAACTGGATTGGCTCTCCTGGTTCCTGTATCATGGAGGCGCTGTGGAAGACCGCGCACAGACTGTACTTCCTCCTCCGCTGGTACTTCTGATAAGGGGAAGACAACAGAAAAAGGGAAGGAGAAGTTAAAAATGGTTTTAAATCAACAACATTCTGTCAGGTATCACGCAGAGGATGAAGAGTCACAGTACCTGCACCACCAGGATGTCGTCGCTGTGGATGCTGTCTACCGTTTTGTCCGCTTTCTCCTCCAGTTTAGTGGACAGCTCCACCAGGATCCTGCCCCTGTACGCCACTCCTTCGCCCTGCAAAGACATTTTCTTCAACTTCAACTAGAATGGAACATGGACAGTGCAGACCTATACCAAGTTGTTTTGCATCACTTTGATTCTGATCTGCCTCAAAGTTTTATGTTTTTTTTTAGCCCTTGCTAAACTATTCCACTAAGACAGTCCATTTTCCTAATGCTGCGAACAAACAAGCTAAACTTAAAAAAAATAACCTCCTTGATGGACAGGAAAAGGGGATGCAGGATCAAAGTCAAAGTCAACTTTATTGTCAATCTTTCAGTTTGTGTGTACGAAATACCGTTTCCCACAATCCCGAATAAACACATTTATACATATGCACACATTAAGACCTAAATAAGTATAAAATGTGCCTTTCGATTGTGGGATATGGATATACTTAGAGAAAAGGTTAGAATTGTGAATACTAGTCTTAAAAATGTCAAATGTTCCCTACCTTTCCATAGTTGAGATCCTCGTAGGGGTCTGGTAAGCCGCTGAACTCTCTCGGGCTGCCGTACAGGTTGACGTAGCACGGCCCGAAGACGGGAAGGAAACCCACCTCAGACTGCCCTGTGTTAGCTGAGGAGACATGAAGATGGACTTAGCACCTCTTCATAATTAGGCTAAAGCTCAGCAAAGCTTTAATGTTAGTATGGCTGCATTCCAGACGTTGGTGGTGCAAAGGTTTGGGTTGGAAAAAGTGGACGCTTAGTAAGCAGGTGGCAGACAACAACACAGTTAAACAAATCTTTCTACAAACATTAAAACAGAGCATGGCGCAGCCTCAGTAGCAATGTGCACGGCACGCACAGACTTTGACTTAATCAGCAGATTAGCGCGCACAACATGCTTTAACTCGTTACATCTCATGCAACACTGAACAATAAAGAGCACAGTTGAACCTTCGTATGACGGTATTTCCCCACTTCCCGCATGTTCCTCTATTCCAGGAGAAAAAGGACAATTCAAGTACCATTTACATGTTAAAACAATTACAATTATCTTTCACAAAAGACCCAGACAAATGAGGCGATTCGTCGAGCAAACATTCATTTATATTTTAAACCCTTATATCATACCTTCTATCTCTCCACCAGAAGAGGCTATCTTGGACAGGTTCAGGTATGTGGTGCCGATTGCGTCATTTCCTGTTATACGATCCCTGCAATCACACACGGCAAATGTATATTAATGTATACATTACATGTCATTTGTTAGACGCTTTTTTATCCAAAGCGACATACATACTCAATACAGGAGCAATTTTGGGGTGAAGTGTCTTGCCCACTTCCTGCTTGACACAACGACATGCTGACTGCAGTGGGGTTTGAACCTGACCCCTGATCCCAACACCAAGGCTCTATCCACTGCGCCACACACCCCCCATATATACTGTATATTAAACTGCACTCGTGATGAAATGTTAAAGAACATGCACAATCCACAATGTAGGGGTATTGCAATGCTCTTGCTTTTTCTCTAGCTATATAAGAAGTATGTGGAATAGAAAAAATGGTTTCAACATGTGTTTATTGGCTCTGGGATCCGACTTTTCAACACTTTCTGCAGGGGCACAGAGTTTTTCTAACATTTCCTCTTGCACTTAGTACCCTTCACCCTTCCTGGACCCGAGTTATCGCTCCGCTCAGAAGCGAACAATAATGAAAATGAGCCAACAGGATCCCAGAGCATTTACTGAGGGGAAGGGAGCGGCCTGCAGAGACTGAGTCAGACATTATTCTCTTAATCAACTTCCTCCTGACTGCTTTTCTGTTGCGTTTTGTTTCTTTTTGGCTTTGTCTCTGTTTTTTGTTTTGTTTGTATACCCCCCCTCCCAAATGTAAAGCGTCTTTGGGTCCAGAAAAGCGCTATATAAAATTAATATATTATTATTATTATTATTATTATGTGGTTGGTAATGCTGCATGGAAATACACAGCTGACCACACTGCAGAAATATTGTGGTGCACTTTCTCAACCCCAAGAACAAAAATCACACGGGCTACAATCTTGAAAACAAAAATGGTTTGACTTACCAATCAAATACTGTCAGTTTGACGCGTTCACACATGGAGGGGAACTACAGAAAACATAAGAAGCAGGTTCAAATAAACCAACATCTATTCATAATCTATTACTTTCTTATTTCTGTGCTTGGTGGAGAACATGTTACCTTGACTTGGAGGTTCAGCACTTGGTTCCACTCTGGGTTTGCATTCTTCTCGATGATCTTGGTGCACAGCTGGAGACAGAAAGGACACATTAGCTTCTCTCATGTGACACAAATCAATGTTGTATCGAGTTAAAAAGAGACAGAAACCTTTAGTCCAGCAAAGCGAGCCTCTAAGAAAGGATCCACCAGGTTTTTCTTGTTTTCATCTCCTCCAAATATCTCTTTCATGGTCTGGACGAATGCATCATCCACTGAAATGAGAAAACATTGGAAAACACTTCTAAATTAAATCACTATTTTTTAACAGTATAGTTGAATCTTGTTTACTATGAAAAAGGTATATTAGGGTCATTGTAGGTTCGAAAAAAAAATTGCAGAACCAGTGGAATACTGTAGCCTAATATTTTTGAAAAAAATATACAACTTGTATATTTACGGGAAACAAACTTGGATATTCCAAGATGAAATCAATTGACAAGAAAAAGTGTGGAAAATTAGACAAAAGGTGTTTGTTTTTTGTTCGGGAACCACAACGCTTCATTTTGAAGTGCTTTGTCACAAATCTGAAATAAGTCTTACTCTGGGGGACATCCTCAGCTCTGAACACCTTCAGGGACAGGGTGGCCCATCGCAGAGTCACACCAGCCGGCAGCAGCAGATTACTCTCAATGTCGTCCTGATCGTCATTTGAATCCCTCTTTTCCACCTGCATCGTGTCACATAGGAAGAACAGAAAGGAGTTCATGAAACAGAACAAGGACGCACGGCCACTGTATTTACATGAGGAAAGAGGAAGCGACTCAGTCATCTGAGAGCTGTAGTCGTACCGGAGGCTCGTCTCCAGCCCCGACCACGAAGAGGCTGACTTTCAGGTAACCTTTAGACCCCGAGTTCGAGTCATCTGGGTCGTTCAACAGAAGCCACTTCCTCAGAACACAGTGCGCTGCAACAGGTCACACACACACACAGATTAACCCCATGAAGGTAGATGAAAAGCACCTTCACTTTACACCTTGATCCTAAACATATTCCCCTCTTAACATTAACATTATACAAAAGGACTCAATAAGACTAACTCCCAAAGAAGAGTTGAATCTCACTCAATTGTCCCTCTCAGCTCAAAATGGTGGCAAAGATAACAACTTTATCACCCTGTATCATAACCACCTTTGGGGGTTTAAAACATATCAAGTATGGAATTACAATTTGCCGATTCCTCTGGTTCAAAACGAGACCAAACTCTTCTTTGGATGTTCGTTTTTAAGCAACAAAAAAGGCCAAAATGTGAACTGCAACTGACTACGTGAGGCTTGTTTTTAGCTCTGCAGATTGACGCAAATGTCTGTTGCTAACTTAAGCGATTGTTGATTACTTGAGGCCCCTTTTGGTGGGTTAAGAGGAGTGAGGAGTCAGTGACGGAAAGAACTAGGCAATAAAATATGTTTTTCAAAATGTGAATCACAGTAGGTTCTTGGCCATAAAGTTATAAATGTGTAGAAAATATGCTAAGCTAATGGGTCCTGGGGGTATGCAAATAAGCTTTGGACAGAGAGACAGATATACACACACACGACCAATAGGTTTACTTCCAGCTGAGATGATTATCTTTTCACATTCTGACATCCACAAGCCAGACAACAGCATCCTCTGAGCGAATGTAAATGACACACAAATCTGTGGTTTGTGACAAACTCACCTGGTTCATCGTAAACATAACCGACATCCAGCTGTGTGTGAGAACAAAACCAGATCAGCCAGACATTAACCGCATTATTTTATTAACATTTAAATGGTAAGACGAAAGGAAACCAGGTACCTTGAATTCTCCCATGAGACTGTCAGCCCTCAGTGAATATGAGTTATAGACCTGAAGAGAAAAGTAGTCACATTTTATATTTTTGTACATATCGAAACATCTTTAGGAATTTAAAATCACCATGTTTACTGACCCTTAAGCTGATGTGCTTATCAAAGAGATCCAATGGTAGCATGTGGACATTGTAGAAGAACATCTGTGATGAGAAAAGTGATGAGTTTTAATATAGATAAGCACAGATAAAGATAAAACATTTAGAGTCAACAACCTAGCTTTGAAAAAGTGATAACTGCAAGGCCAAACACTTTTCTATTTCCTTTTAAATTACCTCGTCAAAGAAGGGGTTGTTTCCCCTCTTGATCCTCGTCCTGTGGGTCTGATCGCACACGCTAACCTTCACCACCGGTTTGATGTTGTTACCGGACAGCTGACGGGCTTCGATGATTCTTATGCGAATCTGAAGGAGACAAAATATCACATCATCATTGTGGAGAAAATGAAAATACAACTCATTAGAGCAACTGATTCTGACCAAAAGGAATAATCTCAAAGATGTTCAATTAAATAAATAACTGTAAATTCCTTTTGCAGAAAGAGGTAACAATATTACAAAATAAGTCTGTTTCAACATTCCTGTAAAAATCACAAGCCATGAGATCCAAAAAACAAGACACAGCTCCTAAGAAAACAAAGTCTAGAGTCTTAAAGATTGTACATTTATAGTAGAAGTACAGATACATAACCTGGGGAAAACCTAAACTCCCCAAAAATGACTGTTATGGTATCCTGAAACCACCTAAATGCGAGTTTAAAGAAAAATAAATCCATGTATAGGGGTCAAACTGTATTTTTGTTCTTGCAATCGGTATTTTTCTTTTAATAATGCTAAAAAGTTATGATAAATGTACACATTTTGCATTAATTTGCTTATTGTTGGGTTTTCTAACACCCACACCCTTCTCTTCTTGATCTGCGTGTTAAACCGTTTATTGGTCTTTGTTGAAACTGACCTGGAAGTCCTGAGGTTTATTGACCAGTCGGTGGCGATTTTGCGATCTGGCAATCTTCTGTCGCATGTTAACGGACTGACCGGGGGACGAGGGGCCCCCTGCTGAGCCACCCTGGCCCCCATCAGGTTGAGTCTCATCCCCTCCACCACCACCTTATTAGTAGAAAAAAAGATTTGGCATTCCTCAAATTAAGTGTAAACATTTACTAGACCAAGAATAACATACCAGCATCCACTGTGGAGTCTCCTTCCTGAGAGTCATTGGGGTTTGGGGCAAAATTTGCTGGAGGATCGTAGCCAATCACAAGGTCGATCGAAGCCTGGAAGGAAATGATTGGATCGTCTGTGATTACATTCATTTCTTTATAACAAAAAAGCTCTTCCGTTTCTTATATTTTTATAAAGCACTTACACCAATACCCTGTCCACTTTCATTGACCAGAGGAACATTTTTGGATGGAAGTGATCTCATTTGACCTGATGAGAGATCTTTCAGAGCGATTTTGGTTGACCCAATGAATCTGTTGGGAAAAACACAACAGGGGAATATTTTTTAATTTGAATCCACTGTCAGAATTCAGTATAAAATGCGTATAACATGTGACTTGGATGACAATTCTGCACTTCTGATTTCCTGATTCATCACGGGAAAATTCATGGCTGCAGTTCAAGTCAGCCAACATACGTGATATCAGGTTACATACTGAACAGAGATGAAACGCTGTACTCAGGTCACCACCCAAAGCTAACAAACCCTGCCTGTTCTGACAAACAAACGCACCCCGTGAGCCGGCGTACTGTCAACACCAGCTACCTGTCAGTCATCTGTGACAAGAGGACTGACATCAACCAATTATTCCTTTTAAAAGACTAGCTATAACAGAACAGACTGAAAACTCAACTGTTTTTGTTCAAACAAAGGCTTAATTTATGTGAAATGTATCTGCAGGATTCTTGCTTGTTAGTTTGTTTCTTAATGGCTGAATGCACTTATTTTTAAGACGTTCAAACTATCCAACTTTTTATTCACCAGTCATCAAATAATATTAGGGTATTGTGAAAAAGACGGCTTAAAATCACAGGGACTTCCTGGTAGAAAAACATTATCCATTATCCTACTCAAAACACTTTAATTATAAATAGAAATTGAATAATCATTAACATTTAAGTGGAAGATAATCTAATGAATCAAACGGTTGTCAAGAAAAGGATGTGAATCACTGACAGACTTCAGGTTTGAACTGTAATGCATTCCTCCGTTAACTCCATATTTAAAAAGATAATATATACTGAAACTTAATGTGGTAAAGTGTCTTTGTGAGAACTGTCCAATACTGAACTCTTGCTGTACAAATATAGTAGCCTTTCTGATGAAGTGTCATGAAAACTTGTCCTCAGACTGTTTGTAGTTGCTGTGGTTAATCGCTGCGTCTGTTTTGGTCTGCAGCCAAAAACAACACCGCCCAATGAGTGTTTATTTGTATGATCCATCTAAATATGTGAACAGCATTTAATTAGCTCTGAGAATATTTTTGGGAAATCTCAATTGTTACATTACATTACATTGCATTTAGCTGACGCTTTTGTCCAAAGCGACTTACAATAAGTACATTCGACCAGGAAGACACAACCTTGAAGAAAACAGAATCATATAAGTACATCAGGTTTCATAGAGCCAAACATTTCAAGTGCTACTCAACTGGCTTTAGGTAAGCCAGTCCTTTATTAGTATAAAAGTGCTTCGTTAATAGTTCTATCGCTCGAAGTGGAGTCGAAAGAGATGAGTTTTCAGTTTGCGCCGGAAGATGTGCAAGCTATCTGCCGTCCTGATGTCAATGGGGAGCTCATTCCACCATCTTGGAGCCAGGACAGCAAACCCACGTGTTTTTGCAGATGGGAACTTGGGTCCCCCTCGCAGCGAGGGCGCAGCGAGTCGTTTGGCTGATGCAGAGCGTAGTGCACGCGCTGGGGTGTACGGTTTAACCATGTCCTGGATGTAGGAAGGGCCAGATCCATTCGCAGCATGGTAAGCAAGTACCAGTGTCTTGAAGTGGATTCTAGCAGTTACCGGAAGCCAGTGAAGGGAGCGGAGGAGCGGAGTGGTGTGGGAAAATGTAGGAAGGTTGAAGACCAGACGAGCCGCTGCATTCTGGATGAGCTGCAGAGGTTGGATGGCACATGCAGGTAGACCAGCCAGGAGGGAGTTGCAGTAGTCTAGGCGTGAGATGACGAGAGCCTGAGTCGCTTTCTGTGTCAGCTGTGGACGTATCTTCCTGATGTTGTAAAGCGTGTATTTGCAGCAACGGGTTGTAGCAGCGATGTTTGCAGTGAAGGACAGGTTGTTATCTAGGGTCACACCCAGATTCCTTGCAGTCTGAGTCGGGGAAACAACTGAGGTGCCGATGTTGATTGTTAGGTCAAGAGTGGGACAATCTTTTCCCGGGAGGTAGAGCAGCTCAGTCTTGTCAAGGTTGAGCTTGAGGTGATGAGCAGACATCCACTGAGAGATGTCAGCTAGACAAGCAGAGATGCGTGCAACAACCTGGGTCTCTGAGCGGGGAAAGGACAGAATTAATTGGGTGTCGTCAGCGTAGCAGTGGTAAGAAAAACCATGCGGGCTAATGACTGATCCGAGCGAGTTTGTGTACAGGGAGAAGAGGAGGGGACCAAGAACAGAGCCCTGAGGGACCCCTGTAGTTAATTGACAAGGGTCGGACTCAGACCCTCTCCATGTCACCCTGTAGGTACGGTCTTTCAGGTATGAGGTGAGGAGGGAAAGAGCAAAGCCTGAAACTCCATGTTTTTGGAGAGTGCGAAGGAGGATCTGATGATTCACCGTGTCGAATGCAGCAGACAGGTCCAACAGGATGATGACAGAGGAGAGGGATGCTGCTTTGGCAGTGTGCAGTGAGAGCAGTTTCTGTGGAGTGACCTGCCTTGAAACCAGACTGGTGCGGATCCAGAAGGTTGTTCTGATTGAGATAACAGGAGAGTTGTTTAAAGACAGCGCGTTCAAGTGATTTAGACAGGAACGGGAGGAGAGAGACAGGCCTGTAGTTTATAACATCAGACGGGTTGAGAGTCGGTTTCTTTAGGAGAGGGTTTACTCTTGCCTCCTTGAGACTGTTTGGAAAGTGACCAGAAGTTAGAGAAGTGTTGATGAAATGGGTGAGAAACGGTAGAATATCAGGAGCGATAGTCTGAAGGAGGTTTGAAGGGATAGGGTCCAGAGGACAGGTGGTAGGGCGGGCAGAAGTAATGAGGGTAAGAACCTCACTTGGAGAGAGAGGGGAAAAGGAGGTCAGTGTGTGGGTGAAAGGAGGGTCTGGTGACCCAGCGGTGAGTATAGGTGAGTCAGAAAAAGAAGAGCGAATATCATCAACCTTTTTTTCAAAGTGGGTAACAAAGTCGCTTGACAGAAGTGAGGAGGGGGAGGGGCTTTTGGAGGGTCCAAGAGGGTGGAGAAGATGGAAAATAGTTTTTTAGGATTGGAATAGGAAGATTGGATCTTATCTTGAAAGAAAGTGCTTTTTCCCTGAGAGATCGAAGCAGAGAAAGAGGAGAGGAGAGCCTGATAGGTTATGAGGTCGTCACGGTGTTTGGATTTCCACCGTTTCCGCTCTGCTGCCCTAAGGACGGTTCTATTAGCACGCAGTGCATCATTTAGCCAGGGAGCAGGAGGGGACTGACGAGCCTGCCGAGATGTGAGAGGACAGAGAGAGTCCAGAGAGGATGAGAGAGTAGAGAGGAGAGTTTCTGCAGCAGAGTTTGGTGGCAGGAGTTGGAACGAGTCAGAGGAAGGGAGGGCTGAGAGCACCGACGAGGCAAAGGTAGAGGGGGAGAGGGAGCGAAGGTTACGGCGGACAAGTGCAGGATGAGAAGAGATTCGTTTGTTATGTTTGGAAAGGGGTAGAGAGAATGAAATGAAGAAGTGATCGGATGTGTGGAGCGGGTTTACAGAGAGGTTAGAAGTAGCGCAGTTCCTTGAGAATATGAGATCAAGGACATTGCCAGCTTTATGAGTCGGTGGGGACGGAGACAGTGAGAAAGCAAAGGCGGTTAACAGAGATGTTAGTTCGTCTATCTTCCCCGTCTGGAGGTTGAAGTCTCCGAGAAGTACAGCGGGAGGGCCAGTTTCAGGGATGTGTGAGAGGAGATTATCTAATTCCTCCAAGAAGTCCCCCAAGGCGCCTGGTGGACGGTAGAGAACAACAATGGTTAAATGTATAGGATGGGTTACTGTGACGGCATGGAATTCAAAGGTGGAAGGAGTGAAATTAGGTAGCTTGAAGAGGGAAAAGCTCCATTTGGGAGAGAGCAGGAGACCAGTGCCACCTCCTCTGCCAGTGGGTCTGGGTGTATGGGAGAAGGAATATGCAGTGGAGAGAGCTGCTGGGGTGGATGTGTTGGATGGAGTAATCCAGGTCTCAGTGAGAGCAAGGAAATCCAGAGACTGCAGGGAGGCGTAGCCAGAGATGAAGTCAGCCTTAGGAACAGCTGACTGGCAATTCCACAGGCCACCAGAAACTAGATGTTGGATCTCAGTGGAGCACGTGGGATAGACGAGAGCAGGCCGGTTATATCGATTAGGAGATACACGGGGCCAATGATAATTGCGAGAAGACACATGAACAGGAATGGAGAAAATACACATGATTATAGCATGAGGGGCTAGAAAACTAAAGAAAAGAGAAATAAGACACCAGCTCAATCAGAGTAGGATTTGCCTCCTCTTTGCCTCCCTCGTGACTCCCGTAGGACTCCCGTAGGACTCCCGTAGGACTCCCGTAGGACTCCCGTAGGACTCCCGTAGGACTCCCGTAGGACTCCCGTAGGACTCGTCTCCCGTAGGACTCCCGTAGGACTCCCGTAGGACTCCCGTAGGACTCCCGTAGGACTCCCGTAGGGACTCCCGTAGGACTCCCGTAGGACTCCAATGTCTTTGTCAGTCTTACTCCCGTAGGACTCCAATGTCTTTGTCAGTCTTCGGCTGTCTGACGCTGAAGCTGACGCTCAAGGAAAGAGCTACCTAAAATGGACGCCTGATTGCTCAGTTCTCACAGCTGTAGGGGCACGCCCCTCTAATTAGTTAACTATCTACAGCTGATGGGCGACAATAGACTGGCCCTGCCTATATTAATGCAGGCTTGAGTGCTGAGACCTGTGAAGCAGGTTTCGCCTGAGCAGATCTGAGATTTAAAATCTCTCAAAAGCGATTGAGCCGTTTAAGCTACAATAACAATTATACAGAGTCGAATAAATGAAACAGAGAAGTCTAATTAAACAAGAATATAACTTACAGTGGTTGCTGCGTCAATAGGTAATGTCGTCACCGGGTCCAGATGCACACTGAGTTCATCAGATTTTAAATGCGGTATTTAAATGCTTTTTAAGGTAAAAAATTACTGAGTCACGCGGTTGTACTTCACGCAATCAATAGACTGGCCCTGCCTATATTAATGCAGGCTTGAGTGCTGTCTCTCAAAAGCGATTTAGCCGTTTAAGCTACAATAACAATTAT